AAATATTGTAAGAAATCACGATATTGGTGTCTCGCCTGTAAAGTAACATTATGCCGGGTACACACTGGCTAGAACTGCACACGAACAGTTCGCAACCTGCTCGCAGACTGTTCGCTAATGAGTCTGTGGCGGGTACGTCGTCGTCAACAAACCCTTACCGAACATCGTTCTATTCTTCCACGCGAATTTTCTCTTTTCCAACGCCTTCAGATTTTAGTTTCCGTGTTACTCTCCCCGCGTTAAGACTTGCCTTCGTCCTTGAGTAGCCTAAGAAGCGCACATGTGGCATTCCAACGCCTTCAGATTTTAGTTTCCGTGTTACTCTCCCCGCGTTAAGACTTGCCTTCGTCCTCGAGTAGTCTAAGAAGCGCACATGTGGCATCCACCACTTCCTCCACTTCTATCTTTATGTATCGCTACTCCTGTCTCCCTGTCCTAACAATATAAAAACTCAGTACGCCTACACCTCCGGGGAGTTTTTCCTTTACCGACCATCGCGACGTACCTGCCGAACCGCTGCCGCAGGGACAATTAACAAAGTATTGTATTTTCTGGACAAATTGTACGCCTATACGACCATATAATTATACTTTAATAAATTGAGGTGAAAACAGTGTAACGACGTTTGTTAGGACAGCAAGGGGACGATTTTATGATACGTGATTTCTAGTTCAGCAAACCGTTATTTTTAATTAGCAGACCGGTCTGCAGCCAACATGCGGCACGTAGAATTTCTCAAATATTAAAGAATAGGCTATTGTTCAGTCAGTAAGGCAAGGTATCATAAAGTCACCCCCAAAGGGTCTTCGAAACCGATGCAATTACCGAGGCCTCTCGGTACCTGACCTTCCGAACGAGTCGGAGAGTCAGAGTTGACCTGGCAAATTCCCGTCCACCAAGGACCAGCTTCGTCACCCCCGCTCCAAGGACGTGACGCGCTCCGGGCGCAATGGAAGGAGGTGATACGGGGTTGGTCACTTAGTAATTTTAAGAACCTCCCTTCGCGTCCCTTCTTCAAATTTTAGAAGATTCGGAGAAGGGACGACTCGATAAGAAGGCCAACTTAGCTTAAGACCACAGCGTGTCAGTACACAGACCATCAATTACATTAGGAATATTAAAGATTCAGTCAGACTCTCAACGCAATACATTCAGTCTTCAGACGGCACCTAGTGCAATATTCCAAGTACGCGGAAATTAGTACCCGAGTGCTTAACAACTTTCCTCACCCACCTCAAGTTGCTCGCGAAAGTGTCTACACTGCCGGCGAACATGGTTCGCGAACTGTTCGCGAACACCGGTGCGAATTATGCATCGTACGGTGCTTCAAATTATATCATAGTGCTCAATAAAATCAATTTTCATTTAAATTGTTTGTTCACTTATCGGAGAACATCTACGGTCGGATTCGTATTTTTTAATAATCGTGTAAGATACAAATTATGCCATTTCGAGTTTACTCGTCATTGAAAGTTTAGAGGAGACTGGAGCTGAAAGTTACAATTTTGACAAAACATTAAAAATGACCGAGAAATAATGTAGTTATTTTCTTCACTATTAACTAATCTATTGTTAAATTTATCGTACTTTAAGATTCCGAGCTTAGATTTAACATATTGCAATTAGTTTTTCGTAAAGTGTCATTTAATTGCAACTCGGCGAAGCGTAACTCCTAACCTCGTCGTAGGGCAAGTTGTTACAGCATTGGGGTAAGTTGTTCCAAAGAAGAAAGAGTTGCTTTTCAGCGAAATATTTCAATTTCTAATGAAATAAAGTACAATTTCACGAATAATGTTTATTTATTAAGGTTTAAGTCAACCAAAATATATTATTTGCATACTATGACACGTGCAGCGTGCGCATTCGGTAAACGAACTCCCTGGTTAAAAGGTTGAAAATAATTCAGTGATGTTTAAAACATTGTAAAAATTCGTGTTACGCAAATTAAATAAACTTCACGTGCAGTAGATTATATCACTGTACTTGTTACTTTTCACAGCAAGAAGTGTCTTTGAAATACGTTCTTCTGGAACCAGAATGTGCATATTGATAATGGCGTAACTAAATATATGTAAATTTGACAGGAAAAGCAGTTTAAAATTTGTATTTGACTACTAGTTGAATGCTACTCTCTGATGGGGAACTAATGAACTTAGAAGTGTGTCGTTTTACACGATAAAAATATTCTACCCTTCGACGCTTTATGTAAAAAAATACAAATTGACTATTTTTGAGTTATGCGATGTGTCAACACTGTCAAACACGTAACTTATCATTATCTATAAGATCAAGTTAATTTCGCTGCAAATCATCGGTTATATTTCTTGTAAGAATTTATTCTTTCAAATTTCATAAATTCCAAACATTTACTGCTCGGCAAACGAAGTCCCTCTATTATCGTCACTTATTTTCGTGCAAGTACGTCGCATTATTTACGATCGAAAAGCGTTGTGCGTCAATTATGTAAGAAACATTAACGTAGGTCTAAACAACGCGACGATAATATTTGTCTTCATTAGTGCATCGAACAATGAAGTTTCTTGAACATTTGAAGAAAACACGCCTCTTGTTGTCGTAGATTTCGTGGCAGACGACGACGCGTGGATCGCGTACTCCTTAATGAACCACGTAAATTGATAACTTGCACACGAACGTCCATCTTTTAACCCCACCGCGGACGGCGCTCGATAAGGAATCGTTACATAGGAAATAAGCTTCCACGGCTTGTGGAAAGTGTTTAATGAGCACCCTTCCCGCGTCGAACACGCTTATCGGCATTTATGACATTTTTCTTACCGTATTTTCGACGACATTCCGTGCGCTTCTGTCGACGCGTTTCACGAAAGCAGATTTATTGGCGGCGCGGAAACCTCGATTCTTAAATAGTTCTATAAGCATTTCTCGAGGAAATTGGACTGATTTAGGTGGAGAATTGAATGTCTAATTTCTTCTCTTTTCTGTACAAAATAGACATGAATTTTTTTGTGGAAGAATTCTTTAAGTGAAGAATATTTAGAAAGATCGAAAGCTAGAGAACGTTCGAAAAGTTTTAGATTTGTTTAATATTCAAAGAATTCGAGAAAACGGTTGCATTGAGAATTTCTTTGCTGCCAACAAAACGATATTTGTGTAACTTTTGCCAGAAGAAGGTATCTTAAGAAATTATCGTACTAACAGCCTTTTTGCGGAATTAATTTTATCACGCTTGTGATAATGTATCGTAAGGAATTTTGTTATTTTGAAAAATATTTCCATGCACAAATTACCACTATGATTATCTTTAAAAAATTAGACAGTAGTAAAATTGCAAACTGTCCTTATAATTTTTTAATAAGTGCGTTTTATCTTCGTCTTCGCTCTAAAAAATCACCAACCTCTGATATCATTCATAGTTGATTATTTCCACGTGCATACGAAATAACGTAGAACGAGGGCAGACAAAATATAAATCGAATGCACATAAAAAGAAAACAAAAGAAAGAAGGAAAATTGATGAAATATAATAGGACCAATATATTTTTTAAATGGTTTGAGCTTCTGTACAAAATTCTGGTACATTTTATAGACAAATCTTTTTATTATTTTATTCATTGCACGATTGAAATTTAGATTCTATGGATTTTGAAATTATTTCAACGAGAATTGACTTAACCATGTGCTTTGCGATATGAAATTCTACTTCAATGCATAACAAGCACAATAAACCATAAAACATCATACCGACATCGTATATTTTATGTAAAAGTCACCAATAAAATAAGAATATTCCTCAATAACCTTAAAATTGTCACCATAATTCCTAATCTAATTCAAAACATGTTTAAAGACTTTCAATCCTTATTTTCCAAATCCCACTTACACTGTCGGTCATAAATATTAGGACACCCGTTATTTTTGTACAGAAATTATTATATGATAGGAGTCACAGTTTTTGAATAATTAATGGCAGCTTCCTGATTTAAGTCGTGTCCAATTATTTTTGGATTCCAACGTTTCCCCAGCACTGCAGCTAGCTTCATTATAGTTAAAAAAAGAACTGATAATTCCTTTTTTTATGATTCAATCAATCCAGATCGTGAAAGCCTTAAAATTTTCATTAAATTACATTTGTTTGCCTGATTTAGTAGTACATATCAGCAGAAATATTTGCATTCCTTCTATTCTAGGTCGAACAATTTCTAACTAAGGAAGACGAGTTAACTCGTCATTATTGAGAAATCATTCATTTTGAGTATAAAATGCATCATATTCACATTTGCAACAACCAAAACGAAGTAATTGGTTATATTTTTTACTCATTTTTAATTACGAACTAGAGATGAGTCCATTTAACAGGTTAACATTTTTCTAACAACCATTTAGCCTTGTTTCACGTTCGGTAAGTGTCCTAATGCTTATAAACGAGAACTTACAAGAATTCTAAACCCCATCTCGAACTGCGCCACCGGGCAGAAAAAAGAAAACTAAAAAGACTCATTCCATAATCCCAAGTACAACCATCGTCCACTTTGTTGCTACTCACCTCTTGAGGATAAAACGGCGCCTGCAGCGACACGCAGATCGCATTAGCGAAATCAGCTAGGCTGATGACGATCAACGTGAGCCATTGCCTCTTGGTGAATTGAGCCATCATCGTAAAGGCCTTCTCGTTTCTTCACAAGTACTCTTTCTGTCTCTGAAGTTACACCACGACCTTCATCTGTATCGACGATTCGCGCGTTGGAAACCGGCTCGCGTTGCGTTGCATCAGGAACAAGCAGCGCGTCAGAACCGATCAGCTTCTGATCTGACTCTCAACTGACTGCTCGATCCACCCTTATCACCGATTATCGTTGCAAACGACGTGTAACCAGCGATCGCCCGTCTGTCTTGATGTGCCCTCGAGACGCTTATGACTCGACAACAGACACAAGAGGCGCTATACTATTTAGTCACTTTTCAGTTGGATGAAATACGAGGAAGAGTGAGGGAGAGAGAGAGAGCGAGAGAAGAGCGCACAACAGGGTCGTAGGTCGAACGATACGTCCTACCACGCTTCTAAGTCCCATTATCGGGTGACTTCGTTGCGAGAGTTGGACGTTTCGTCGCTTATTCGTCGTTCGTTCTGAGGAATCTTTTTTTCTTTTCCTTTTTCTTCGATGACGATGATTTGGAAACTGGTGATTTTGGACGTGGACAGAGTGAAAAATGTGGGCAAATTGAATTATTCTGAATGGTAAAGCTGTGAAACTGGGAGAATTTAATGTTTCAGGAGAGAATTAACCGATTTGTTAGTTAATGTAAAATCACCTTTGCAACGATAGTTTGTGGATAAAATCAGTGCAAAGGTAATTTTATGTTAATTACGAAGTGATTTTTTTCTCTCTTGAGAAATGAAATGTTTGCAGTTATTAAGTTTAGAACATTGAGATAATGACTGATTTTGTGTTACATCGATTTATGTTACAATAATGTGGAACCAGTTTTGCAAAATACTCGAAAATTCAATTGTTAAATGGAGTTAGTAGTAAAAATATTGAAAAGTCTAAATATCTTGTAACGAAAAATATATGACTTAGGTCACTTCAGATGGAATTAGAAGATTATTTTTGGTCAGTAATTTAGGGAGTAGATATTTGATTATGTTGATTGGTGGAACATTTAGAGAGGAAGTTTGGTTGGTAAACACTGTATTAGGTTGGTGCATATGAAATGGCCGTTTTCGGAATTTCGTTCTTAAATGTATCACTAGGTAACACTTATTATACATCAATTTAAAGTTACTTCACGAAATTGGCCAACATCAACAATGGTTCGTGAATCAATTTATTGTTAAATGATTTTGATGAAATTCTATTAATTACATCCTTGTTGGACAAATATTTAATAACGAATGTGAAGTAAAAATGTGTTTTCAAGGAATTTCTGGCATTTATAGCAATGCATAATTTTTTTTAATAAAGCAACAATAACTTCGTTTCGTGATGGTCAAAGTGCACTGAAACCAGTAGATCATATTTTTACTAAAATTGCACACATTGAAAGTTTCATTAATACCGTCGGTCATTTCATCTACAACAACATAATGGAATATAGTATATAAAGTATAATTGTATTTATGCTAAGGAATGGTAAGATGTTAGAATCACAAATATTTTTTTAAATTAATATATTATACTACTTGGGATTAAAAAAGGATTACGAGGAACAGTGTTCAATTAACAGAGAACGAAGGGATGTGAGCAATTTTTGAGTTCCTTCGAATACACTGAATATTCCAAGAGATCTAATTTTCCAAATAAATATTGCGCTTAAAATTTCAATTATAGTAAATTATTAAGTTATAAAAAATTATTGAGTATTTTTGCTGAACATATTGGAAAACTAAATACACTAAATATTCCAAGTATTTTAATTTTTTAAGTAAACATGCTTAAAATTGGAGTATTTTTGCAAATACATTCAATTTATCAAATTTCACAACTGAAAAACTAAATTAGAATTGCATGGATTGGCTAAGACAAAATGCTAAGAAGTTTATTTAAGAAAACAACAATCTCTACAAAATACCGAATCCTCCAACGTAACTTCTAACTAAAAATTTATTCGTACATCACAGAACCTCCATACAAATTGTATGTTACGTGAAAAAGACCCATTTTCACTAAAAAAAAAAATTCACAAAATTTACGGTACCTAGATGCTTCCAGCCACAATAGAAACCGTCGACGTATCTTTGTAAACAAGAAACTGCCTCATTCCTGACGGCAACACAGGAAATCCCATTATCTCGAAACTTCGCCGCCTTTCGGTCATTATCTAGCAAGTTCGCGTGACAAATTATTTATATACCTACGCGAACTGATAAATTTATTGCCTCGTTTCTTGTCGCCCTTGCTATTTGCATTGATGTTTCACGCTTTAAGGGAGCAACTTTAAAGCGATGATTGGGCGCATGGAAATTTTAAATTGTCATATAGCGCTCTGTTTGCAAAGGCATCGATTGTAACGTGTATATATCGGTGAGTGGTTCTCAATTTAATTCAAATCATGGGAAAACTTTTCAACGAGTGGAGGAGAATATTGACAAACGATTTGGAAAATTTTAGGGGAAAGTTTGTGTAATTTTTTGAATTCTAAAGTTTAGAAAATAATTGCCTGGTTCGAACAGTTTCAAATGATCTTAACACGTGGGAAATAAAGATAGAGAATTTTTAGGTATTTTTCAAGTCTTGGGGTATAAAATGGGAGAAATAATTTAGGGTCATCTGTAGATGAAATCTGCATAATGTTAAAAGACGATATATTATTTCAGTAATATAATCTCTATGCAGTGAAATAATGTGATTTTTAAATGAAAAGATTTACAAGGGTAGGTAATACAATTTTGTTTTATTCATTCTCCTTTTCTCCACATAGATTTTGTAGCATGTCATGTAATTGGCGTGTGATATATCATCGATATAGTGAAAATAAAGCGATGAGTATATTGAGCTACAGGTTTACTTCACTATTGAAAGCAATTAAAGTATAGTACGGTACAATTGTGATTGTCTGAACTCGCTTATATTAAAAATACAGTCAAACTAGAGGTAACAAGGATAAAGAAGAATGATAAGAAAAATTCTACGAAAAATGAAGAAACAGTAAGGTACCGGAAAATGTTAATGAATTACAACGAATAATTGAAGACTTTGCTACAAGAATGTGCTAACTTTTGGGAAACTAGTGAAAACAGTGTGAACAAAATATTTTTAGACGTATATATTATCCACTTAAAATCTACATATTAACACAGCATTTAGCATTAATACTAAGCATAAATATCTTTTTCCTATGGCATGACGAATGTTCAAAATTTCAAACTGCCCCATTTTGCACTGCATCGTACAAAAATCCACTTATCTCGAGTATACAGGGTGTTCCATTTAACTGGAATATCTCACGAGGGATTAAAGTTATGGAAAAAATGTTCTTACAAAAGTTGTTCGGTATATAGGGGGACATTAGGTGGTCTAAATAATTTTTCTGTAAGTGTGGGAAGCGATATCAAAGTCAAGTTATTTTTTAAAATTTTTTTACACCTACGGAACAATTATTTACACCACCCAATGTCCCCCTATATACCGAACAATTTCTGTAAGAACATTTTCTTCGTAACTTCAATCTCCCGTGAGATATGCAGTCAAATCGGACACACTGTATAATTAAAAGTTATGTATCTATAAAATTTTGGAAATTAGGCGAAGAAGTAGGATATATCCTTATAACTCGAGACTGAATTGTCAGATCTGCAATTTATTCAAAAATGTTTTTTTACTTTCAATGCTACTTATCACTCAATTTGAACAAATTATAGAGCTGCCTTCTTTTTGCAGCAAAGTCTTCAATTAGCCTTCAACCAGTTCAGACAATCAAAAACACTATCCTAAGCACCACCTCAACAGCTTCAACATTCACGATTCCATAATCCTTACGCTTTCTCACAGATTTAAGTACCAGCGATCACAGAATGCACACGAATGCACTGTACGTACATCGAAATTTCATCAAACTGATTCAGTCCTTCGAAACACTTCATCTTCGATCTCCAATTATCTCTTTTTTACTCCGCACCGACACAGTTTTCGTTTTTTTCTCCACGTCCAAACGTGCATTAAGAAAAGAAAAGAGCACGAGAAAAGCGCGATTTTCTTTAAGACAATCTTCAAGATATGTTCATGAATGAAACTACGTGTCACGGAGCCAAACTTTCAACGGAATCTTGACCATGGCCTTGCCAAGGAAGTCCTTGAAGTGCGTCGCGATGCTGGCACTCGCAGCTGGTCTCATCTCCTCGATGATCTCCTTCGCGTTCTGGTTGAGGAACTGATTCATCGCCTGGCCGATCACGTTGTCGCCGTTTAATTGATCGACCACGCGGAATCGAGCTCGACCCAGGCTGAAGTCGACCAACATTCGCCCCACTTTCAAGTAACGAACCCCGTCGCGGATCTCTTCTATTCCTTGGACGCGAGCGATCGCTAAAACGTCTCCTGGAAACGAAATTTTCTCAGTTTTATGAAATAGTAATTTTTTAGATATAAAGTGTCTCGGTAACCGTGGTACAATTGGAAAGGGGGTGATTCCTTAAGAAAAAAGAAGTCAAATGAAAAAACAACTTTGAAAATGCGTTAGGTGTGCACACTGACAATTTTCTCCCCGAGACCCTCGAATTTTCGAGATATTCCAGAAAATGAAATATGGACGATTGCTGATAAAAAAAATATACGTCAAATAGTTTTCCCGAGATCTCCCATATAAGTTTCATCAAAATTGGCGTGTATCGGTTCGATATTGTAAGAGTGATAGAATTTCTGCGTGTGTTCCAGTCTGGAACGAGAATTGCGTGAACGAAGAATTCTTGAGCTAGAACGATAGAGGTGCGAAAGAAGAGTGTTTGGGACTGAGTATAGTCGGTGGAAGAAATACAGCGAGGTCGTAAATTAAAGCATTAAATAGCGGCACCGATTGATGTAGCGACACTCAGGGGCTACATGTAGCATCTTACATTTTTCCATTGGGACTAAATTAAAGCTAAGGCATAGTTCATGCGGCCTTGATTGATTTCGGGTCCTTATCTCCTCACGTTTCTGTCGATTCGCTTGTCCATACGGTTGACCATACGTCTGTCCGATCTTGCGACCTCGTTATATTTCTTCCACCGACTATACCTAAGAATATCGTGTGAACGAAGGGTACGGAGCCATCCAAAGATGTGGATGGACGTGGCTGAATATCTCTGAGAAACGTCTGCGTAGAATGAGAGGCAAATAGTAATAGAGAGAGGGGAATGTGGGGAAGGGAGAGATAGATAGAGAAAGAGAGAAAGGGTCAGGGAGAATATGCGGGTGCAAAGATAAAAGAATCTGAAAGATGCGTGCGCGGGGTCAAAATGGAAAAGTCAATGACTAGAATGCGGAAAAATCAGCGTAGTAGGACAGTGTGGAAAACAAGTAAAGATAGCTAGGTTAATAATAATCAATGTGGTTTTCAGAGATAATAGCGTACATTAGCGTGGAATAATATGAAGTTTGCCTGTGCAGTTTTATCATCTGTTAAATATATTTTAGTCTGAATTACACCTATTCGATCTTGATCACGAAAACCACAAAATCCTACAATATGATCCCTCGAAAGTGTAAGTTTTGACCTCTTGCCGACACAGCGGCGCCGAGACATCCGTCTAGAGCTCACCCCCTTGAGATAAAATAAACGAACGCGTTTCGTTCTCATGGGAAAATTAGGGCCCCCACCACCCAAAAAATACAGATTTTTGGGTATATAAGGGCATGATTTCCGAGGCTCTGGGGCAGTCACAGTTCAGAGTTACCCTGAACTTTAAAGTAGAGCAGTATCTGTATAGTCGTCGTTTGACACAAGCAAGATCGGGCTCAATTCCCTTTCAAGCAACCAAGTATAATAGTAAACTCGTAAGTGTCAACTAGACATGCTTGTCTACGACGTCCCCGCGTAATCCCCGTGTAAAGTCGAGAAGGAAGATTCTTGCTCAGCCAAGAATCAACCATTATAATTTATCTTTAAACCATTGTAAACTTATTGTAAATTCCTTGAATATTATTAGAATATAGTTACTATAGAATTGCTCAGCCTATATTCACAGTTAAACTCACAAAGGATATATCTTTACCGCTCGAGGTATATCCGACATTACGATACGTATTGTCCTTACAACCACCAAACCTTTTCCATCCTTCGGAGAACGGCGTAGTAACCACATGCGTCGAAGGTTCCAATCCTTTTGGATTTGTTGTCAACCACGTATCACCCTCATACGGTGAACGTTTTTTTGGATTTGTTGTCAACCGCGTATCACCCTCATACGGTGAACGTTTTGACCGATCCACCAACCCAATATTACGCTCCGTGTGAGGACCCAACAAGCGTAACCCGTAACAGTATTGTAATGTCTATCATGATTGGCTTCCTGCCATTGCTATTACCTTACTTACTGACACTTTGTATTATCAGTCTCTTTCGTTCTGTATTGTACCGCTATTACTGGGACACCCTGTATAGTTGTGTCAAGGAATGTACTTCGTTCTGTTAAAAAAAGGTAGATAGGAGCTGTAATTTTAATTTTGTTTATTTTTCGGTCAATTTTGTCTTTCAATAAGTATCCAATTCAACGTCAAAGAATTAAATATTTTTGAACCAATGATATTCAGCTATTGAATATTCGTGGTACATATAAAATTCCGAATACTTTTCAACCAAGAAATTTCACTCCCTGAAAAGAGGATCTTAATCAAAGGATTACTTACAAATATTTTGAGTAATAAGATTTTGCAGCACCAAATCGAGTAAAACATGGACAAATGTATGCAAATCTAAATGTAAAATAGTAGAAGATATATTTTCAATAATCCCTAAACAATTCTAATTTTACGTTCTATGATCTACACTACCGGCCAAAAGTTTGGAATCACTGTGCATTGCAAGTTACAGAAAAATTCCCAGAAAGAAGTCAGCAGCTTTAAGAATTTTTTAACGAATTTTGTATCATTCAAATCAATCGGTATGAGATAAATTGCTATTTATCTCCACAATATCAATATCAAGTCTATGAAAAATTAGTAGCAGATTCAGTACTGATGAAAATTGGGAGGTGATTCCAAACTTTTGGCCGGTAGTGTATATTAGGGATGTCGATCTCGCGAGGCACATACGACTCCTTCTCTTCGCCTGCTCCTGCTCCTAATTCACTCTGATAAACTTCTCGGCAGGCTAATCACCACTACTTATACACAGTCCCTTGTTTGCAACTGACACTATCAGGGCCGTAAATATATGTATACGTAGTGGGACTCGTGCAATTCCTGGAGGAAAAGAAGCGAGGGAACTGGCTGACAGAGAGCCAAGGGGAAGTAGTTCGACACCCCTGATCTATATTCTACGTTCTACATTGCTATATTACAACTATTACTTGACAAAGTTGGAAGTGAAACATAGATAAATATATACAAATGTAAATGTAATACAGGTAACCCTCGTATAACACGGCACTTCTACAACACGGTTTTGGGAAATTACCCGAACAATATGAAACATAATAAGAGCTTTCAAAAGCAAAAAGTATTTCATTTGAAATTAGGGAAATCCCCGAATAACACGGAATGTAGTAAAAATTTTTGAGCAACAGATAGCTCATTTGAAATTTTTCATTCGAGCGTGGATGTCGTATCGGATTTGACTGCAGAATTTTAAAATTTATTAGAATTTTAAATTCATTTTGTTCGCGGAACATTAAGTACATACATTTTACAATTTTGTGTTTTTCTTTTTACTACATTATACATAGGCTAAAAATCTTCGGGTGAGTATTATTCAACCTTTTTTAAAGAAATAGTAATTATGCTTTCCATTTATGTGAATTAATTTGTAGCCTTGAACTATGTCTGGCGGAAATAAAAGAATACATATTATTTTTATTTAATACATATTAATATGTTATACTTTTGGTGAAAATTGCTTTAATAAAGATATTTCTCTTAATTATAAAAATATAATAGTACGTTTTTTTCATTTTTGGAACCAAACTCCCTTTTTTGTACTAGCTCTTTGTTTCGTATAACACAGATTCGCATAACACGTCATATTTTTTGGAACCTAACAACCGTGTTATACGGGGGTTACCTGTACAGGATATTATGGGGTACATTCTCAAAAATCCCTAAAGAGTAGGCTTTCACGATTCTTAAAAGAGAAGGATTCTACAGGGTGTCCAGTGAGTAGTTCAATAAGCTACGCCTACGTGTTCAGCAGATCATTCTGAAGAAAAATGTCATATACACTATATATAGGTCTGTTTTGCTTCGTTAGTGAATTACATTAAAAATAAAAAATTTTCCTTGTTAAGCATACTTACAGAGAAATAATAATTCTACTTTTGTTGTATGGATTATTTAATTTACAACTAATGTTCAAAATCCGTTTCTCCCAAATTTCTACACACATTTTGGAAAAGAAAATACTAATAAGCTGTACGATCAAAGTATCGTTGCCAATACTTAACTACCGCGGCTCTGCTATTCCCTTTGTAAAAGCCGTATATGAATATTATATCGGTATATTCTGTATCTGGAAAAGTACAAGGCATCGTGCACATTGTCATACTAACCAAATCAAGTCTAAAATATTGACCGAATGTCATGCACAAGCTTTGCTTTCATCATTGGAAAGTACTTATCTTTGCACCCGAAGCAAGCATCAACAATGCTTATCTTAACGACAGAAGGAATAAGATCTATATGTATATGACATTTCTTGTTCAAGATAACATGCCGTAAACGTTGGAGAAGTTTGTTGAAGTGATACCTTGTGTATTCAAACATGTTACCAGTTTCGTTATATTTGAGAAATTTGATAAACTCACCAAACAACGCCCAGAAATCTCCATGGCTCTGAATAGGGAAGAGCAACACATTCCCTACGACTTCATAGCCACCTTGAAGTTCGATTTTCGGAAACGCCAAGTGAAGGTCTAGTCTATACGTAGTGACGTCCACTCGTGCCTTGGTAATTGTGTAATTCCCAGCGCCTATGACCGTGATGTTAGTGAACAGAGCTTTGATTCGAACTGCGCCTTGGCCGTTCTCCATTCCTAGCTCCGGGATGATCAGCGGTTCGATCGGAGGCAGGTCCAACTCGGAAATACCTGGGAAAGTTTTACTCTATATATGTATAAGATAATTAAGCCTTCTATCTATTTTTAAGTAGTCTGTGAAAATTTTTCCATTTTTTTTTTGTATAAATTGAAGGGAAGTAATTAATTAGTGGAAATTATTTTTCAATTTTCCGAATTTATTTTTGACAGAAGGTCAGTAGGCAAGTAATTAGTGAAAATTATGATTTTAAGTGGCCAGTGGAAATTATATTTTTGAGTCGTGAGTGAAAATTAGGAAATTAATTAGGAATTAAAAAATAGGAAAGTTGAAGGAAATTAATTAGTGGAAATTAGAGAAGAAAGGTGGCTGTCGTCTGACCGTTGGTCGTGAATTTAAGGGCTTTCTAAGAGCGCTTATTTCAATTTAAGTATTGAGATTTTTATATAGCACACAAATATTTTAAAAGTGACAGTATAGATTTAAAGTTGCGAGTTTAGATATTTCACTTAAAGAGGAGAACAAATTCTTTCTCGTTCGAAAAACACAGTACAATATAGTAGGACTTTGTTATTAATAACCAAAATGACAGAAAAAAAGAGCACAAGAGAAAGACCTCTGAAACATATAACAAATAGTAAACTAGCAGGAAAGGACAAACAATAGATGAAATTAAACTAATTAGTGGAAATTATTTTTCATGTAGCTGAGGGAAATTATATTTTTATTTTCTTAATCTATTTTCTAGTAGGAATTGAAGAGAAATAATTTAAATTTTAGATAAAGAACACTAGAGATTGTAATCTTATTGCATTATTCTCAAGATAAGAGTTTTGGAATATTAGAAAATATATTTTTCCAAAGTTTCTTCAGTTAAATATCAATGGATACGTTTGAAAATCTTTGAAGATCTTCGACAAATAAATGAAATAAATTTAGAAAGAAGGAAAAACTCAAAGTTGAGGAAGAACCTTCTTTTTTATATAAGTTCTTCGAGCGAAACCAAGTTACACGTACTAATTAATTGTACTTCTTATATAAATACGAAAACCGGCAAACTACCGATCTTCAGAAGTATATTACGCAAGTACCCTTCACTCTAATGCAACTTAAATTTCATTTGTCTCTAAAACAACAGATTCACTTCAGTTCACACGAACAATACTCTTTCGTTTCGACACTGACAGTGTCCTTTTCAAGTTTCTTTTTACTACTTACCTTGCAGTGACTCATGTACAATCACTTTTTAGTACTTAGGTGACTCAATAAACAGTCCACTTTCTTTATTAAATTCAACATTTATTTTTGTATTTTTTTTCTGTCTCTGATTTGTTCCTAATTATTCTGAAAGTCTTTCGGTGTTTGTGCTGGACTTTTGTCCAACAACTTTCGCAATTCATACTTACCACATTTTCAAGAAATCGTTAAGATCGAAATCATTTTGTTCGAAACGTTTAAACCAATATTTGCATAGATTTTCGTACTAAGAAGAAAATATATTAATATTCCACAACAATTTTTTTCCTGCTAATATTCGTAAAAAAGGTGTGCTTTACTTGTTTATCTGTTGCCATTTTCTTTACTACAATGTCAACTGATTTTTCAGATTAAAATTGATCAGCTAATATTTTCAAAGAAGCTACAAATTGTCACTAATAAACAAGGAACGTGTTGTAGTACAGTCTGAATTTGAATAACATTTCAAGCTGATTAAAAAAATAGTAGATTATTTATTGGTACACCTAACACAATTTTTACTATTTCAGTGCAATAATAATTTTTTCTTTAGAATTTTTTTACTTATTTACTTAAAAGAATTGATATTTTCTGCAGTATTCGATTAATTTTCACTCACCCTTCTGCAAGTATGGCTGCAAATGGTTCAACGTCTTCTGAAAGCATGTCTCTATCTTGGGATCTGACCTACTGCAGGGTAGTATATACTCGGCTGCGAAAAACGAAGAATGTCGAAAGAATAAACGTGTAGATTTTTCATAATTTATAAATAACG